CTAGTTTAATTTGATAGTGAGACAATTGTAGCTATCAAATTTAGCATGCTCTAGACCTCATTTCATACATATTTGACTTTTTCGTTGACTTTGACTTTTTGTTGACTTTTATTTTTGTGTTCAATATTTTTAGTGTTTACTCTGTGATTGCTGAGTAGTTTATGACTAGATCTAATCTTGGTCATTTGGTTGATTTTGATCCCGAATTTTAGAGAACACTACATAAGCTTAAGACTCGGGTAGTTCACACTAGTGATATTGTTAATTCTGTTTTTGACTCTTCTGATTCTTATTCAAGTTTCTTTCTATCTAATAATATGGCTAACCATGATTTGACCTTAAAGGAATTGGCTACACCTAATGTAGTTTATCAACTTTGGTGTGTCCAATATCCTATATTGAAGGTGAATTATGAGCTTAAACATGGGCTAATTCATTTGTTGCGTAAGTGTCATGGACTTGCAAGTGAAGATCCTCACAAGCATCTTAAGGAGTTCCAAGTGGTGTGTTGCACCATGAGACCTTCAACTAATCCAAAGGATTATGTTAAGATGACAACATTTGCATTCCCCTTGGATGGTACAACAAAGGTGTTGGAGAAAAAGATACACATTAGAAGGGGGGTTGAATAGTGTATATCAAAAACTCACGCTTTTTGTAATGAAGTATTAAAAATTGTGACAGGCGAAACAATAAAAAATAACAAATGAAGTGACTCAAGTGTTTTATACTGGTTCATCTCAATTTTAGAGACTACGTCCAATTCCCAATCTAATTAGATTGAGTTTCACTATCTTGTACAAGATATAAGTATTTTTTCATAAGCCACATTTGGCTCAACACCAAGTATTTTTTCAATAAGCCTCTTAGGCTCAAACCCAAGTATTTTTTCTACAAGTCACACAAGCTTAAACACAAGTATTCTTTTAACAAGTCTCTTCAAGCTCAACACTAAATATTCTTTTCACACAAGCTTCTCCAAGCTCAACCCTTACAAATAAATTTGACAAGAGTTACAAAGATAGCTTTGTCTCTTCTAGACCTGATGCTATGAAAAATACAGCACAAATAGACTACAAAGAACATATAAATTTACAATGAAGATATTCTTTATAGTGCTTCAGCTTAGTTTTCAATATGCTTCTCAATGATAGAATTTTCTATTTACAAAGCTTTTCTCTTTTCTTTGTGATGCCTCGCTTTCTACACCCTTTTTTTCTCACTCTTTATAGTATGAAGGCTTGATTCTTATATAGTAGCTTCAGAGAAAATAACCATTGTAGCAATGTTGGATTTAAACGTTCAGATTTTTTCACAAGTTGTTTCGTCTATCTTCTTTACTGATCCTAGAGGTTACCACTAATGCATTTAACGTGAGCATTAAATGCTTGTCAAGATGTGTGTACATCTTATATGATCCAAACAACTACATATCATCATTTCTTTCTATTTTGAGTGAGGCAGTGTAGTTTCAACATAGAGCAGTGTTTGCAATGTCTTTATATAGTAGATTCATACATGTGACAATAAGGAATAATGGAAACATCCATCCGCACTTGTTGAATTTAAATTTGTAACAAAATATCAAGGCAAATAATTAGATGTCTCTTAATTTTATTTTATTTTTTCCTCTTTAATATATGAGGTCATGGAACAAGATCAAACACTCTGGCCACAGATGCCAGA